GAATTTTGGATTTCAGTTCAAACCGAATTTAAAAAAATTTCTGAAAAAGCAATTTCAATATTATTACAATTTTCAACATCATACTTATGTGAGCTTGGATTTTCAACACTGACGAATATCAAAACAAAGAAACGAGAAAGGCTGACAAATATTGAAGAGGAAATGAGAGTAGCAATATAGTACATACGGCCAGATATTGAAAATATCTGTAAAAATCATCAGGCACAAATATCTCATACAAAGTATTCAATTTCAAATTTTTAAATTTTTTTTAACTCTTTTTATTATTTTATTATTTTTTAGTGACTAACACTAACATGTATGGCATGCAAACAATTTTATGCTATACATTCATTGTTTAATATATTAAAAAATTAAAAATGTATGTACTACTATTTTATTTTACAGTTGTGTTCCTCGAAAATCTTGTAAAATGTTAAGTGTTCCGTCATTCGAAAAAGGTTAAGAACCACTGCTCTATGGTGAAGGCCAGACGTGAGGACTCTATAGGTACTACCTATAGGAAGATCCTATTGCGAAGTCCTCGGAGTCGATGTGTTGGTGTCAGAGCACGTCCGCCGTCATAATAATTTTTTTATTAGTTCTTTGAATGATGTTCATGCAGTGTTGGGTAGTAATGGAACGCAAATTACAAATTACTGTAACGTAATTACTTTTTTCAGTAACGCAGTTGTAACAAAATTACTTTTTAAAAGTAATTTATATGAAGTAGGTATAGCACTAACTCAATTTTCACTCCACGTTATTAAAATAATATAATATGATATTTATTTTCTATTCCGATAATAGTTGACAATATTATTAAACATTCCACGAATTATGTTATTAATGTTGTTACTTTATTAGCAAAAAGAAAAGAGTTAAGTTTAAAAATAAATTTTAATTAAAATTAATTATGATTTATGAGTCAACTACCTGTCTACCTATATGGCTTTATAGCCATACAGCCATATAGGTGAGATGATTGTACATATTTTACATTTGTAAAATGGTCAATGATTGTAAAATATACACATAATAATTGAATCATATAAATTGAATATGATTAAAAAAAAAAATAATTACCTACTGTTATCAATGATAAAAAAGTGACGTTATTTTTAAGGCACTACTTTATTAATGAAAACATACTGTAACGTCATAAAAATTATTTGAGGTAACGCAAATGTACTTTAAACAAAAATATTTGAAGTAACGAGGAACGTAATTTTATTAATTTTTAAAAGTAATTTACACAACACAGTGTTCAGGTGATATGCGAATAACATAAGCCTACGTGGATTAGCACAATACGTTTTATTTTATCATTGCGACTATATTTCGTGCACTCAATACTGAAAATAATAAAAAAATATATTTTAATTGTAACATTTAATTTTAAATAAATAGTAATACTGCTTACATATGTTGTACTGTTTTCAGACATCTTAATAATAATACTCATTATTGCTATATTTGAGTACCCGCCTGCCTGAAGACTCGTGACATTATCTGCATTCGAAAACATCACAGTGATCCGTGGGACCGTAGTTTAACATTTATCGTGAGAATATTATGTTCACAATTTATAAGATATTATTGTGTACGCGCAGGTACACGAAGTTGGCCCCCACCGACTTGAGAATATCACCAAATAGCTTCAAATAACACAGTATTGACTTTCGCTAATATTATTTCTAATTTTCCATTAGGTATGATATTATTTTGTTTCGTCGGCGTGTACGACTTATGGTCGGGGTCGGCCGATAATTGATTGACCGTACATAAACGCGTTATCCGCATAAGTACCTATAGCCACCTAGGTAACCACCACTAACCGCACAAACACAAACTTTATAATTTATTTTCTGTGCTAAGACATGTCGCGTATAACTTAATTCGGTACAATATAATATTAAAATAATAATTCGATAATTAAATCACTCACCGGAATACTGAGTAGGTAACTATCACGTTATACGAGGATAATAATATTATATTATTATTATGCTCTACGCTGCGCGCTACTGCACGGTGAACGTTACCTTACCACAAACACGGTAAAAACCGGTTCTACAGATATTACAGTGCTGTACAATAATAAGTACATGACATGACGCCGCCGCGCCGGTCGACCGATGCAGATACGCTTTTGCAAAAATATGTGTACAATATTTTTGTCTGCGAACATAATTAATTAATAACTATATGACCTACCTACGACAATTCGACGTGAGACAGTGTTTGCAATAAAATACTAGAAATTCCTAGGCGACTGTAAAGTAGGTACCCAATCGTTTATATTAAGTATGTGGAACACGCATAATTTGCATAGTTGAAATGCACTAATAATATTAATATTACAATAATAAATTATCATTAAACTTTGCCACTTCACGGCAGGTAAGTACAATATTTAAAAAAAACATTTATCAAGATGGCTTCGCTATAAATTTGCCCTTAATTCTTTATGGATAGGATTTATATTTATTGCGTTAGTATCAATAATTGATGTTATTCTTAACTGTAATACCTCGTATTTTTTTTTTTCATATATATTCATGTATATCATTTTGTATTAATAACAATCGCTTATGATTGTAATGTAATATTATCTTAATAGCTATAATATTATGTTACTAACAGATAGTTCCTGCTGCTAACCTGAGCCTCCACACGAGTTTCCTCGAGAAATTTATTGCAAATAAAAAAAAACAAAATTCGTAATAATCGTAATATGCCGACTACGGGATATTATGTATTTATAGCTGATAAATTAAAACCAATTTATAATAATATGATTTTCGTCGATCGGCAGTGGCGTTTTTTTTTATACAATAATAGTTATGTACTTGGGCCAACTATATATTATAAACAAGGGAAAGGCATTTTTTAGCGAACAAATGAGTAATAATAGTAATGCAACAAATACACAATGTACATGTATTGTCGGCCCTCCTTAATTTTTTTTTTACATCTGCCCGCACGCGCCAACACGCGTTATTCGATACACGATCGTGTGGTTCGGTTACCACATTTTTTTTTTTTTGTTTAGCAGTTTAACATTGAATTTCGTGTGATCATCATCGTCATGGATGTGTACGACGAATAACATCTGCGCCGGGTCTCGCCTGTATCTCCAGAAACATTATCATTAGTATTATTGTTGTTTTTTTTTTTTTATAGTAGACACGACATAGGTGCCAGTTTAAATAAATTATTAATCGCTTTAACGCACGATATATTATAGTATTATAATTACGACTTGCTGTGTATAGTGCATACTCGGGAGACGACCACAAACATGCCTTATTTCCAGGTCAATAGAAAACTCCTGCTGATGAAAATTCACTATTTCTTAGGAATTGGAGGTAAGAATATTAAATACACATAGATTTTAAGGCAACCATAGAAAAATGATGTACATATTTTATAATAATTGCTATATTTTCTCTCGGGTTGGTCACTGTTATTTTGGTTGTGCGACATTCATAACATTTTGAAACAATTATCTATGTGTAGTTATTATTTCGACTATGTGTAGAATCCTGTTTACCACTATCTGCTGTATTATGCAGATAATATTAAATACCTAAAATTAAATATAAAATTAAATCTTCTATTAGATACATAAAATATGTTTGTACAAAAAAAAATACGTCTACACCAGTTATTGGCGCATATTTAAAACAATTCAATAAGGTGGGTGTTATCTGAACTAACTTTTTTTTTACCCGAAATGATTTTATAATAATATTTAATAGTCTTATACCCTTAATTTATTTCAATTACATATTACATAAATTCGCCTTTAATTTTTTTCCATCAGGACCAGAAATATTTGTTAAAATATCTTCAATTTTTGGAAAACATATTCATACTTTCCAATAGTTCTTTATTAGATACTTCCTAGTTTGTGAAGTTATTGGATAACTCGGATAAGCGTAAATTTATGAATGCCGAATCACATTTTACTGTATTATTTTGTACAAGCTGTTTCAGTTTTTCCACACTGATAGCATCGTATTTTAAACTTTCAATCACATTTTGACATTTTTCAAAATTATTTTCGTAGATAAATGCAGCATTTAACCGTGTTCCCCACTTTGTAATATTAGGGAGGTAAAGGTATGCATGGCATTTTATTTTTAAAAACTAACGGTGAACACGTACACTGTGTAGTAATACAAATAATACAACGACGCACTGGTGGCAACGCCGACCGGCTTTTATAACGAATATTCTAGTAAACTAAAATTATCCATATCGGATAATACCGATAATAATAAAATGATGTATATGTATCTATAATGGATTTATGGTACAACCACTGCAGATTATCTACTTATAACGAAAACTCGGTCATAATAGGGTTTTTATACAATAAATTTAGCTGAGTTAAATATTGTGTTCATTTAAACACACAGAATTGTAGAAAATTGCAAAAATTACAATATAAAATTTAATAGGCATAACCCATAAAGTATATTATATAAACTATACATTTGATCAGATTTGATTTATCTTAACTGCAAAAAAAGTTGCAATATCAATTAAGCCCAGTCTTTAATTATAATATTATAATATATACAAACGATTTCTTAAAATTTTTATTCAAGTTTTTTTTAATCAATCGAATCGTCTGTTTTACTACAAAATAATATGCATATTTACTTAAACATAATAGAAACTTGGTAGACATTGCTGTGCATAATACCTGTATAATGTATAGTCGTAAAGCATTATATTATGATATTAATCAAAATGTAATCAATACCATAACACGGAGTTAATAATATGGTCTTTGAGGTGAATAGGGTCAAAAAATTATTTTCAGTATTCAATGTTTTATTTAAAGAATCATTTAAAATTATATTTATATTCTACAGGAACCTGATGGTTGTATCATAAAATTATAAAACCAAAACCGTTATCAGCATAATATTATTAATTATGTATTTTCTGTTGATCTCTCTATTTGGCGTTCAAATATTATATTTTGTACAGTTTTTTAAAAATATTTTGCTTAAAGTATAATATTTTTAAAAAAATGTACCAGTGGATACTATTGTAAGGGCTGTTGTCTATTTCACCAAAATTTACCCAAAATGTATATAACATGTTTAATTTGCACCAACATTTTTTAAATGCGTTTGTAATTTGCACCATTTCAGCTGATAAAAAATAAGAATTGCAAATTCCACCAAAATCCAAATCGATTATTCTTTCGTACAAGTATCTAATAGTAATTTCTAAACTTGAAAACGTGAAAACTTTATATGCTTATTTGCCACTCAGATATGTTATCTCGCCGCCATCCATAATAATACATTTATCTCATTAATAATAAATTCAACTGTTCTCGGAAAAAAATGTACCATAGGTATTTATTCCATAATAATGAATGTTATTTAAAAGCCTATAGTCTAATCCAGCGTTTCTCAAAGTGTGGGTCACGACCCACTGGTGGGTCGGGAACATTTTTTTGAATTATATAGATTCCAAGAAATGTATGTTAGGTACCTCACTATAAAAAGTACATTTTAATTATATTAATTATATTTTTATTCATATTAATTATAAACCTATAAAAAAAAGTAAATACCTATTAAAAATGTATACATATTTATATAATTCAAATTTTATTTTCCACAAATTGTTGAAAAGTGAAACAATGTGGGTCGTGAAAGATTTTTCGGGGGAAATTTTGGTCCCGGTATCAAAAAGATTGAGAACACTACTGGTCTAACCGATACAACATCAAAAGGTTTAATAATAACCACCGTGGGTCTTAGTACGTCTTTGTTCATCGTTATTCGATTTATAGACCTATTATTTATTATAACCTATGATTAAGTTTTTTTTAATCGGACCTTTGGAAGTACTTAAATTTTCGTCTGGCGTGTTATTTTAAGTTCATAAATTGATTTTGAATATTTTGATCTAATTACTAAATGCCATATACATGCGGGTGCTTAATATATGTATGACTAAGCTAACGATGAATTGATGGGGAGTGTTCACCACTAATGATTACTACACACGCAAAGACGAGCAGTGATTACCAAAGAATTGCCAAAATACAACAGCTGTAAAAATGACACGTTTGCATGGTCTTTAACACAGATCTATACCGACTTACCAACACAACGCTCTTCTTCGTCAGATGTAATGGGTGCAAATTTCATAATTGCAATTTCCAAATAAGTAATCATAGGTTGCAATAATATCTCATTTATTCCGATATCTCTAATTAATTTTAGGCAGTTCAAAACACAACAGTACCTACCCAGAACGCGGCGTATCCTATATGATAAATAAAAAAAATTATCATTCATATAATAAAACTCGATAACCTATAACCCGTAGTAACCATAAATTAAATTTCATTACTGCTATTATTTTGTACACGTATATTTTTGCAGGAACCATGTAATTGTCACAAAATCACGATAAGTTTATACAGTTGACAATTAATATAAACGTATAATATTATCAAAATTATGTTAGTACGTAGGAACAACTAGAAATACTGAGAAATATGCATTATTACGTATGATTTATTGTATTACTTATAATTTTAAATGAATTTATCACTTGCAAAAACTCAATTATTCATCACAGTGAAAATATGTAATTACAAATAAATCCAAAATAAGGAATGTAATAACTAAATACAACCAATAACACACAATATACCACTAATGTTTCTTACTTCTCTACCTATTCACACCGACACCGTTCTAAGGTTCGTTAGTAAATTTATTTTAAAGCTACCCAATACAAATTGGAACACTATAATATTATATTAGAACCAACACGCACAAGCACAATTCTCAAGCAACATTAAAGAAATTCTTAATGCAGAACAAACTTAAAACATTATATAATGTAATGTAAAGTGTAAATAGAAACTAATTATTTATTGTAAAATATACTTACAAATGTTCATATAAAATACATGTAAAAAAAAGTTGGCTGATAATCGACACTGGTCGCGAGTAGAACGAGCGATAGGTGAAGATTGGACATTGCACCTTAGATGTTGAAGCAGGTAAAATCTTAAAAGAAAAAAAGCTGGTAGGTGCGGATGTTACTCTGCCGTACAGTAGGTGGGCCACTGTAATGGATTATAGTGTTAAATTTTAATTCAGTGATATAAAATCATTTTATACGAAAAACGATTCTGAGCGGAGGCGGCCCGTTTCAATTCATTAAAAAAAGATCTTATCTTTCAAACTCCTTGAGATATTACCGAAAAACTTCTGAAAATTTTCCTATAATCATCTGGTTTTTCGATATTATGTATTTATGTTCTTAACTCGTCGTTATTGGGAGGTACCCGTATGTATCGCCACACGATTGATATTCGCTGTGCGAGCCTCTCTCACACGTTACCCTTTTTTTTATAATTTTTAAACGCTCCATAAAATTCCTATCATCGAATCATACATAGCAATAATTCGTAAATTATTACTTTTTACGAAAAAGTAAAATATATTTTTTTGTAGATAGCTACTACCTATTAATAATTTATTTAAAAACAAATATACATACAAATTTAAATTGAATACACTTTTTGAAATTTGATGCTTATCGTTAAGCTGCAGGATGTCATGTGCTTGCTGTGTGCTGCTTACGTCGACGAATAGTGCTCTCATTAAGTTTTATAGTTAACATAATATTAATTGAAGGTATTGATTGTTATTAATTATCAGACTAATAATTAAAACACATTTTATACGATTGACTTTCGAACTGTTATTTGAAATAAACTCACATGTGTACTGAAGATGGTTGTTTGAACACGTATGAGTAAATGTATAGACTATGTATATTACATTATTACCTGTATAGATTTTTGTATTTAAATTAAAAATCGTTCGTTAATATATCGTAATAAAAATTGTAATAGGAACTAAAAAAAAACTAAAAATTTGTAGACAGCCGGGAGTCAGGGCGTGTTATGTATTCTGGTTAGGTTGCAATCTATTTGCTATCTAATTGTTAACTTAGATCATTTTTAAAGCAAAAGAGTCATATTTACTTTTTGTGACAGTACCTATGTATGTTATGTAGTTTACTCAATTAACCTTCGAAGTCAAAATTCAAGACCACCTTATTCGAATTGTGGCGTTCTTGCACCCCCCCCCCCCCCCCCAAAAAAACTCATCTTTGTGTGATATGTTTGGTGTAAATCAGCAATATTTAATGTTGTGGCTGTGTAGAATTTTATAATTTGTGATATTGCAACTGTAATACGATACACGTCAGTCTTGTATTTTCATAAAGAAATTCTTTACTGCTACGTCTCAAAATATGGCACAGCCTTGCATTCACATAAAACATTATAAATTTCTATGACTGTAATTGTTTAGGTTAAAGAGAAGATATTTCATAATATACATAGATATTTAATAAAGTCATAATGCAAAGTATATTTTTAAGTATTTAAATTTTTATTTTCAAATCCATAGGTAAACAAGTAAACAACTTGTTAAAATATCTTATAGTTGTAAACTTAAAATGGCTTTTTCTCAAAACTATAAATTTTGAGTTATAGGAGTCTTGCTTTGGAGGTTTATACTGGGATTTAATATTTACTTATTTATTGTAATTTATGACCAAAACTTTTTTTTGTTTACTTATTCAGGTTATGCACCGTTTTCTCCATTTTTGACGACAATATCAAAACAACGTGGTTATTCTGCATTTATAGTTGGTTTAATATTCATGCTACAACCAATTCCTGGAATGTTGATAAGACCAATTGTTGGTGCCGTTACAGATAAATACAAATGTCGTCGGTCGGTGTTTATTGCGAGTTCAATAATTACTTTTGTATTGGTATGTTTGTTATCAATAATTCCTGGTACGACATCAAAAGAAGAAATGAACGATTTAGATGTAATCAAGTCGCCACTGTTTTGGATGTTTTTCACTACAATTGCCTTATTAAATACAGATGGAACGGTGAAAAGTGTTTTAGAGGACACGATTTGTATGGACTTATTAGGTAAAAATAAATACTGTGCTTTTATAAAATTATAGATTTTACTTTTGTGAGGTAACAGCAGTTGTAGCAAACCATTTATTATAGCATTTATATCTAGTCACTTTATAATTTATATGTACTTTAAAGTTTATGTTCTCAAAAAACTAAAATTGTTGTGTAGGTAGGGTGACCTATTTGGCTATAATTGTAGTAGTAGAATACAACTTTTGCTTATGAGTTATGACGTATGTATACATGTAGTTTAAGGTGGAAATATAAAATATGTACGTGCTAGCTTACCCACTGACTTCGTAAAATTCGAGTCATATGAAAAATTACAAAAATCTGAAAAAAAGTTTACTTACTTATCTACTAGTTAGGTACCTCCCGTAATAAGAAATATAAGTAAATAGGTAAAATTCATGGTAAAATTACACTTTTAATAATTATCAGTTTCTTATTATTGAACTATTCAAATTAAACTATATAAATAGAATAGTTATTTTAACAGTATCTGAACACTAGTTATGTCGAAAAGTATTAACGTATTTGAAAATATTGTTTTACATAATTTTAATTCAGTACAAAATACAATCGTAGAAAAAAATTACTGCTCGTATACAGATTACAATAATTGAGTTCCTACAAAATATAAAACTCTTTTTTTTTATTTTACTGTATTCTTGAGGCTCATTGTGATAACCTTTTCAGGTACCTGTTTGTTTTTCCCATTTACTCATCAAAATAATTTCGTGTTTTAAATATCTATTATTTTGATGTCTGTTGATAATAGAATCAACCGTCAAGATAAATGAAAAAAAAAACAGTTACGTGTTCACCGCTGTCAATGTAAATGTCAAATTATACGTCATATTGTTTTATATTCACGAGTCGAACAAAACGATATGTGAAGCATTTAACAATAAATTAGTTCAATATATACGAGTACCATGGTAGTCGTAGGTCGATGTATTATAATTGTCAACACTTTATAGTTTATACGAACTCATTTCAATTCTAGTAGTGAACTGTAAATAATAATAACAATATGAGTGATGTTTTAACCTATTAACTAATTTGATGATTTAAATTTATAAAACTGAAAACACATTGGACTTTAATATTATTATATGTAGGTATACCAATTAAAGCTGTGGCTCATGGCAATCTTTTTGTACTCTCAAGGGCCAAAATCGAGCGACAAACATTTTTCGAGGGCCGGGGAAATGTTTAGGCGTCCAATAATAGTCATATACCTACTTATTCCGTCAACGCAGGGCCTAATAATGAAATAAACACGGAGGCCGCCGGTTTTGGACCACCGACCAGCAACATCACAGCTATATTGTATGTGCTATAATAAGTACTAATAATAATATTATATAGTAATATAATATGCGTGCCTCCCATGTACTTCCCCTATATCTGATATAATTTATTTGCACTGTGTTTATAATAATTGTATTAACCAATACCAACCGAATGTTCAGTAACTTAGCCTTTAGGGAAAAATCACAATATTTTTGCAACAATGCCGAAACGTCCCGAAGAAAGTCACAAACAGACGCTTTCGTACAATGCCCCTCACCTATATACCTACAATCGGTCCATGTTTTGTGATTATAATAGTACAATATAGTTAGCTTCATTATAATACTATACCAATCGACACTGTTATCAAATAATGCGTACAATGTCATTATATATTGAACCGTCTTTGTGTTTTCTATCAAGGCAAAGACAAACATAATTATGGAAAACAAAGGTTGTGGGGATCTATTGGTTGGAGTTTGTTTGCCATTATTTCCGGTGCATCTGTAGACTGGTACAGCACAGGGGAAGAGTACAAAAACTATGCTCCAGGTTATGTCATTGCATCGATATGTTTCCTTTTAGATATATATGTGGTGTTTAAGCTCAAGGTATAGTATATAATATATATAAAATATCTAATAAACTTCTTAGAGTTATAACCATCCACCATGTGTGTTTAAGCTTTATTTTTCAACCAAAATCTGATGATTAGGTGTAATCATATTTCAATAAAAATATATGTTTATATAATATTTGACTATAATAGCACAAATAAAATTCAATTACACTTCATTTTTATACGAATAAGACAATAACAATAATTTTGGAAGTCAAAATCGTGACTTTGTTTTATTTTAGTGCCTGTCTATAATTGTATTCCAAACGTTAACGTTTAATAGATTTCGCTTAAAATAGTTAAAATCATTTTAAAATTAGTCAAATAGGAAACAAACCTCCCTAACTCTAATAATTTACTTAATACACTCCATGTAAAATTTGTCGGTATACTCATATTATGTCATGAAAATAATTACATATTTGTTTTTTCTGTATTATTTAAGGTTGTGCAAGAAAATGATACCAAAATTGTAGCTTCTGACGTGAAAAAAGTATTCACTGAAGGTAAAGTAATTGCGTTTCTTCTTTGGGTTGTTTTTATTGGATTTTTTATATCTTTCATATGGAACTTCGTATTTTGGTAAGCAACAAATTACATAAATTACAACAATATTATTTCCATAATACAAATACATGACCTATGTTTTATTTTTTAAAAATACTATAAAAATAATATAAAAAATATAAAGTTTTTTTAGTTAATCTCTGAAATTGTGCTTAATTTATTTTTATAATAAAAAATGTAAAAATACAACTGTAGCTATAATTATGTAACACCTTAATATTATAATAACTAGTTTAGATGAAACCGCTTTTCAATATTCAGATTTACTTAAAATATACTCTTATCTTATAAAAAGAATCAATATTGATAATAATGCTAAACTATGTTTTATTAACATTAAAATACAAAACTATTTCTATGTAATGTATTAGCTTAAATGCTTAATACTATACATAAGTTTGTACTCCCCTCTTAAGTTAAACATAATTTATAGAAAAACTAGTAAACTTCTATGCTCTTAAATGCTATACCTTGAATCTTGATACCCTATCAAAATATTGTATTATGATAATATTATCGCATATTTAAATAGCATAAAAACCCTGTGATTTAGGAGATCAATTTATTTTGAATAAACTTATAATATTATAATATTTAATTTTGTTGGTTACGTATACTAATAATAAAACATCACAGTATTATACACATTACAGGTACCTAGAAGACTTGGCAAACAATTTCCATCCGGAAACGAAATCGTGGATGAAGACTCTCCAAGGAATAGCTTTATTAATCCAATGTTTTGGTGGGGAAGTGCCGTCGTTCATTTTGTCCAGTAAATATTTTTACTCAAAAATCGTCTCACAACCACTATTCACCTATACTGTTTGTTTCCTATATTATAATATTATTATACAGGCTATATATTGAAACGTGTGGATCACATGACCGTATTTTCCATAGTGTTTTTCACATTTACGTGTATTTTTTTCGTGTACACGATCATCGAGAACCCTCTTTGGGCATTACCAGTTGAATTACTCAACGGCATAACGTTTGCACTATCATATTCAGCAGCGATTTCGTATGCGGCTCTTATAACTCCTACAGGAGCCGAAGGAACGCTTCAAGGAGTCGTCGGGACGGCTTACACGGGAATAGGTTCGATATTTTATGCATACATAAAATAATATAAAGGGGATTGAAAATGGATGGTTTTCAAGGAGTTCAAAATAGGCAATTTTCAAATTTCACTTCACATCCGCATATTATGTTGTCTCCGTCTTAAACGTGTACGACATAGCAAAAACTGTTTCAATAGAACCATTCAAAGTTAAGCAACCAAATGTTCACCCTAGAAAGAGGAAATCATTGATTTTGCAACGTTGTTTTTAATTGTTCGATATCTGAATGCGATAAAAGTTCTTATTGTTTAAAAAAATCATTATTTTCAAGTTTTTCAAACTTAAGTACCTAATTCTTTTTCAATTCTGAAAAAAAGTTGCATTTACACAATAAAAATGTCTTCCTCATTAAAATGTGAAAAATTGGTAGCTCAGTTTGGACTGCAGTTGAGTGGTTCTAAACCGTGAAAAACAGTTTTGTTATGTTTTACATATTTTGTAAGACAGAAACAACACATGCGGGTTTAGCATCCTCTTAACTATAAATACTATTATCATTGATTATAAATATTGTGCTTCCAGTGAATCCTACCGATGGACCTGATTACGAATATGGAGTCTTCTGTAAATAGATTTGAATTCTTTAATATGTCTATTTGAGACCGTTCGGACCATATTTGAAGATATTTGATTTAAATTTCAGAATAATCAACATTTAAAATTACGTTAATTGTACAAAATTTATAGAAGTTTGGAAACAAAATTTAAAAAAAAAATGGCCTGGTCGATCTCAAGTTGACATAATACTTACTTCAAATCACAAAAGTATAATCACATTACTAGGTCTGTCGGTATGATTGACAATCTATTTTTGCATTTTCGTTGAAATAACTGACGGTTTGCAATCCTCTTAAATACATAATTAATATACAGTGTGTAACAGAATATTCTGGAAAATAAAAAATTGATACTTTTTAAACGTATGAAAAAAAAATGTAAATTATATGGACAATAAATAATTACCTAGTTTATTGACTGAAACCTGAAAATTCCGAAAAATAACATTTTGAAAAATTGTGTATGTTTTGAATTACATAATTTACTCCAAGCAAATATTAATATTCTAAAAAATTAAATAACTATTTGACTTAAATAAACATTTTACCTACTTTCCAAATTTTTCTAACAATTAGAATTACAATATAGTTATTTTGAATTTTTTTGAATTTTTCAGCTTTAAGTCATAATAATAAACAATTGCTTTCTGTATTTTTAGCTCGAAGGTCTTACATATATGGACAATTTTTTAAAAATATTTATTAGCACAACAGTTTTTTATTTGTCAAGTCATTATTCTGTTACACTTTGTACACCTGTATAATATGAAATTGAAAATATTTTAACTTCATATTAATGATATTAATTGGTTATGTCTTAGGTGCCCCAATAGGAAGCTTCGTTGGTGGTTATATGTTTAAACATATTGGAAGTATTGATTCGTTTAAGCTATTGAGCGTGGTTGCATTTTTCACTTGTGTCATACAAATTACTGTCAATTATTTATTAAAGCGTTTTTCTAAAAATGAAGAAGTCAAGGACATATATAGTAAAGTTGAAACTAAAGATGACAATATTGAAGAAGACATAGTTTTGACATCCTAGTATCCTAGTATTATATTGCCAGAAAATTATTTTGTTATTACTCATAAAAAAAATTACTGAATTTTTGTGTTATTTGTTCAATATTTTATAGTTTAGATTTTTTAACTTAAATAGGTACTCACTGAAAAGTCTGGACACGAACTGTTATAACTGGTAACATATTATAGCAATAAATTAAAACATGGTTTCTAGTAATAATTAACGAATATATAATAAACTTGTATAGATTTTTAAACCTATGTTCATTTTCAAACATTTAATGAAAAAAATATCAATAAACACTTCATAGAATGACAAGAAAAAAATATTTTTAACATAAATAATTAGATTTAAATATTAACAGTTTTTTTTTGTTTGTTTTAGTCCTATAATGTATCACAGCATCTACATTGGAAGAAAATGTTTAAAAAGATAATTTGTAGTACAATAAAATAAACTATCTGAATTTTGAATTACACATATTATATGCTATTTTTAAATGAAAAATTTAACTAATACATATTATTTATACTAGTGACATTTTTAAAACTAAAATGACAATTAATGCAATCTCTTTGATAGTTAAAAATTAAAATTAAATTTCATTTGGTAATTCCAAATTAATATTATAGTACAGATTATTCAATATAATTACGTATTATAAATTAGATCATATTATTATCAAATATATTTTTAAATACTTTAAAATAAATATTGTTTCATATATGAATATGATTCAATTTTAATCCCACCATGCTACAAATATAATTCTGTAGAACAGTTTTCAATAATGAATTATTTTATCTGAGTACCTAGTAATCAAAATAATAATGACATAGTTTATCCAAAAATGTCATCATCTCATAATTATGAGTCAGAACCAAAATATTTTGTAAATAATCAATTAAAGAATAGGTCATAGATTTGTATTATTTTTATATTGTTCATTCGAATATGATTCAGAAAAGTGATTTTGTATTTTAGATTCTGAATAGAGCGATTATGAATTTTCACATTTATTTACCTAACCTATAGGAAGGTAACTCATATATTAATTTTAGGTACCTATATATTAATATTGAAATTAAATTAATGCAGACAACATAGGTATTATTCTAAAAAAATATACTGCGAGTATACATTTTGAGTCAAGATAATATTTGAAATGAAACTATCAAAATACAATTGCAAATTTAAATGTAAAATATTAATGAACTACAATTTATTTTTTTACAAGAAATTCATGCTATTCTATTTAAATAGGTACTCATATATTCCATCAACATTAAATTATTTAACCAAGTTTAAAAAATAGTATCTAATGGACGTGGATGTGCCTACTGATTTATTTATTTTATAAGAATTTTTGAGTGTACAACTTAAATAAATGTTAAGCATACACATAGATACAAATATTGTATGACATAAAGTAGGTTTTGAATTACTATAGTATATGTACAGACAGGTACCTACTATAACGAAATTACCATTGTAAACAGAAAAAGTGCAGCGGACAGACAAAACCAACAATAATAATTAACATTCCCATTTATTTTGAAAACAAAAAAGTAAAGTTTTTCAATAATTAGGTAGTAGTTGAATAAAAGATAGTATATATGGTTCCACAAATAGATTTAAAAAATATTCAACAATCAAGTTACCTATAGAAACAGAATCTAGCATTCATATGATATTAGTACATATTATACAGAGTGATTTTTTATTCATGCTCATATTATTTGATTGCTTAAATTATGAATGTATTAAAATTCTGATTTTAGGAATTTTTAAATACACTTGAAGACCATTTTCTAGAGTCCTTAAAGTTGTTTGTACCACTGAAGGATGATCTTGTGACAATACAAGCTTCAGTTTTTTAAATAGGAATTTCCCCCTTTTTTAAATTATCAACCAGATATTTTTTTTGAGAATTTTGATGTATCCCAATCAAAATTCAATCTAGTAGTTTTTGAGTTCTGTAACTTTATGTTCTAAGGGTAATATGGTATTATGGTAATGGCTGAAACAATTTGAAAAACTTAGCAATTACGATTGATTTATCAATATGAATAATTTTTAAAAATGATACAAGTATAATAAATACTACATCTAACATAACATATAGTTTTATTTTATAAAACCATTTTTAATGGTTATTACCCTTAGAATAAAATGTTTAATAACGCAGAAACTACTCATTGGAATTTGATTTAGTTATGTACATCAAAATTTAAAATTTTCAAAAAAACCATCCTTTAAAAAATGATATAAAATAGTAATTCATAATATAAAATAATTTTCAACCCTGCATATATTTTTTAAATAATATGTACTTTAAAATAAATATATTAGCAATAAATACTTTGTACTTTACAGAATATTGAGGAATAATAAAATATTTAAAATCAAAACTCTGTGTTAAATATTAATTTAAAGAAGATAAAAAATAATCAATATTATCCCTAAGGGATCTATAACAGACAGTAACAATAATATTAAGCTCTAACCCTATAAAATCAAAAATTACTTCAATGGAATGAATATTAGACATGAAATAATTAGAAACATTTTTAACGTGGTAGGTACTATTTTTAATGTAAAGAGTTATCTTTACCTTACCTAAACCATCCAACTTATTATTTACAACAATACAATTAAAGAATTGATAATGATAACCATTAATAAGAATAACAAAATCTATATCATCTAAAAGCCAAGTTTCATTTAAAACAATAATATCACTAGTATCTCTGCATCATTATTAACCAAATAAATAAATAACCCTTTTCTTTAGTAGCAGCTCTAGTTTTCCCATACAATTTCATTCTATACTTGGTAAGATTTATACCAATATGCAGTTGTTTTCTTTTTGGCCACTTTGAGTTAATATTAGATAAAAACAAGAGTCTTATTGATTTTACAACTTGCAATCAAATATCTCTTCATGATAAGTTGAGAGAGTTTAACTTTTATTTTTATTTTATTTTTTTCAACAGTTTTCTTTTGACCATTGATCTCAAATGGAGCACAATAACGAGCTTCTTCGACATTTATAGTATAATTTAATTTATTTGATATAGTAACTTAATAATCAAGGCTCGGGACTTTATGCATTCGCATATTTGTTCAGGAAATTAATAGAATAAATTTGATCCGGTACAAATTTGTGTTGTGGTGTTTGGAGTTAAAGTTTTAAAGTTTATTGCGTGTATTTTTGCATATTTTGGATTTGTTTTCTACAGAATAATTTTTGAGATTTATTGATTTTTATTGCATATTTAAAAATATTTTTTAATTATTTAATCTTAAATCGATCTTTTAGTAAATTAGTAAATTAAAAATACTAATGTAAAATTTTCATTTTTGAAGCGTTATAAAAAATGTATTTAGAAAACAAAATACCCGTTGGTACAAGAAGAAGATGCTGAGTGTTAAAAAAATCCAAAGACATCTCATTCAACAATTTGGTTTTTTTCTAAATAAAGTAATATGTAGAAGATATACATTTTTAGCAGTATAAGATATGTTTTTTCAAATTAAATTTGTATAGATAGATACTTCTTTTTTAATTAAAAATAAATGCATATTTAAGCGCATATTTCGATATTTTTTGGTGCATATGTTTGAGCATATTCTTAAGATTTTAAGCACAAATGTCCCGACCCCGTTAATAATATTAAATTTATATTCTTCGATTCATTAGGAGATTACGGTGTACCTAATATTTCTACTGTAGAATTTGAGCTTTTTTGTTCCATACAATCGAATCGATACTTCCCCCCCCCCCCCTAGTTGTGATTAAGTTATTTGTTATTGATAACGAGTTTTTCATTTTCTTTAGGCAATTCTTGCATTTCATTAAAAAAATTTGAAACTATATAAATTATAAATTAACATTACGAGCGCTTCTGAACGTCGTTATACGACACAACACATATTATGTACTAGAAGTAATCAAAACAATATAAAAAAATGAATCAAAAATTGTTAAGGAGTGATAAGCTCATTAGCTAACAGCAACATTCTCAAGACAGCTTGTTGTAATGTTGTATGAACCTAGTTAGTCGCACACATTGATACATGTTTCGGAGAAAACTTAGGAGAGAATTAGCATTTGGAAACTTTAAATTGACCTTAGCTAATAGATCAGGAGCATCTACCTCCTCACACAAGAGTTTGGTTAATAAAAGTAAGTTAGCTTAAATATATGAAGTTAGGAATGGTCATAGAACAAGTACCTATATTATAATTAAATATTATAATTATGGGTTAGATAATTCACAATCTCACCCATGACATTGCGAAGCGTTAAGTTCATAGAACCAGTTCATTTTTCAAGTATTTATTAAACTACCTATCTATTTTTAATTTTTTTTTCATATAAATATTTAAAAAAAAAAACATATCGTTGTAAAACTAATATATTTATCACTCAGCTCAAAATCTAAAACGAATCGATTTCTATGGTTATTGGCAATAATAAATAATAGGAATGTTGTTTTAAATCGAACTAACTATGAAATGCCTAAATCCGGTTTACTTGTTTACAGCTGCAGTTAAAAAATAATTCAGATAAATGTGTTACGCCCGACAATTTTTGGGAGTGGCAAAACATTTTCCTCCGAGTAATGTTATTAGAATATTCCATATTGTGATTAATTTATTGTTCAGCGACATTGTATTTAAGTGGTACAGCGTGTTCCACATTATTATCATCATTTAAATTGTATCGATGTAACAACAACTTATGTTTACTGTTCAATCAATTAGGCATAATATCCTGTTGGTTTGATTAATGTTTGTAAATTATTTAAAATCAATTATTATTATTTATCGTTACAATGACTTATCAGTCATCAGATATTATCGTATCTTTATTAAACTACGTTATGTTATTAATATCATACAAAAGTGTGATGTTTATTTTGTCTAGCGTATTTTACTGTCATATTCTCAGCATAATATTTAATAATTACGAATTCTTTTGGCTGTCACAATACCATCATAACATATTAATTGTCACGGCAAATTTATTTTTAATTGCCTCGATGCATCATTCGTACCACGCCTGCAACGGTGGCTGTTGTTTATTAAAATAAAATTAGGGTTAGGATGTTATAACTTTTGTGACCTTACAAAAACTCTCAAAAATGTATGCAGCTATAAATATCAAAATATTACTTTAGTCTTGCTTTTCAAAATATCAAATATGACATTCTAAAATTGTATTATCAAGGCACTCGGTAGTCGGTACCGATGCAATTTTGTCTACAAAAATACACTCTATGAGAATAGTTATATTATTCTGTAGAATCAACCAAATTTGAGTTTTGACAATAATTTTTTCACTTGAATATGGTAATATTCAACAGGCCGCGTTTTTCAATTTTTTAATACGTGCTTATATAATATAATATAATATAATATAATATAATATAATACATTATATTATATGTTAGTTTTTAGTTATAGTTTTACTTAGTTTTTCTGATTTAAATTATATTTACAATTTTTTTTTAAAAATCTTCATTAATTTATAAAAATCCTTAAATATGCAAATTTATAATGTAAAATAAAATTTAATGTATCTGATTTTATATTATGTCTTACAAAACGAATTTAAACCTTGGTCTGCAATGTACATGACAAAAAATAAGAAAAAATAGTTAAATATTCTGGTAAAAAAGACACCATTGACATTGTTAAAAATAAATATGTAATTTATTATATAAAATAATTTATGAACAATTTTTTTTTTAAATTTAATTTATTAGTTATAATATATTTATTATATTCTGTTTTTGTGTAAAATATGAGTTATTACATATTTTGTTTAGTAGGTAATTAGGTACTAATATTTAGCCATAGCATCATGTTCTATAAAACTTTAAAATAAGTATTCATTTATAGCCTAAAAAAACACTAAATATACTCAGGACGGAACAAGTTTAGGGGCCGAATTTTTTTCATATTCCGCCACTGCACGCAACTGCCATTTAGATGATAAAAAATAATCTTATCGTAACTACTTATAATTATGAGCTCAGTACTTGGATTTTTAATTGGTGGTTATAATACAATTATTTGCTTAAATAAGTTATATCTAACTATATACATATTAATTATATTATTTTAATCGTTTTGCTGTTTTGGAAGTATTGAGTGCTTATAGTCTAGAGTCTAAACTTTAAAGTGGCTTGTCGTTATCAATTTTAATCAGGTTAATAATAAACAATATTTTTTTAATATAAAATATATTTCACACACAATAATAATAATTATGGAGTTTGTGTCGTGTGGGTACCTAACGTGATGTACAATGAAACTAATTTGATAAGTAGGTAATTTTTTTATGATAAGCCCTGGGTCCGAGTCATTGGCTGACAATTTTTAATTAATACAATAATGATTTGATGTAAGCATTTTCTGCTTTTTTGTTTTAGTATTTGCTGTTTGGTTATCTCGTCTTGTCCTAGACCCTAAAGCAGTAGTTCTCAACATTTGTTGGTTCTCTGCACACTATGATACATCGCAAGTTTTCACGCCATTCTCACGCACTTGACTGCCACAACTTCGGCAACTTCGACGGAAGCATTGGTTATCGCCACGCCCCTTTATATACATATATGTACCGTCTTATCTGCACAATTAGTGCATGATTAGTCAATTTATATTAAATACGGTTTTCAATATTTTTTAAATAATATATTACATTTTTTTTCAATAATCACAAGTATCAGACATTTCTCGCTGCATAGTAGGCAGTGTGGAGTGAGAGCAGGGTGAGAACCACTGCTTAAGAGAATAATTTGAGTAATTTGTGGATATTTTTTTGATTGCTGGCAGTTTTTGCTTGTCGGCATTCAACGAGTACTAGGTGGTTAATTGTTAATCCAGTGGTTGTTTGGAATTGGGTCTTATCAGAATACGTGGTTACTTCCTGGGAAAAATGTCCCAGGAGTATTAGGTATACGTAGGTAAAGTGAGGGGGGTATGGTTAACTAGGAAAATCTTACCACACTATTTTTTGGCTGTGACGACAGCACTGATACTTAGGCATGAAAACCCTGCCAGTGAAATGTGTTTTTCTTAGGTACTTTTCTTGTACTAAATGTACGAAAAAACATCACGGCTATAATACGTCGAGTGTTTGTTTTTTTTTTTTTTTATATAATCGCGAACTTTTTTTTCTAAGTGGAGTCATTATAGATCTATTTCGGCCTATTAATACGTAATCCTCTAATTTTATAGCCATGACACACGCCGACACTTAAACACATCGCTCTCTCGTAATGCTGAATACAATTGTGTACGAGTACTTCGTAGATAGTAGGTGTATTAGTAAACATCAAAGATTTTCAACAATCGGCTTATCGGTAGATTTTAAAATATATATATGAAACTTTTAAGTACGTTCTATAACCACTGCATAATTAGTGTGATACTGTCGACCGGTAAATAGCAAATTGTATTTATATTAGCGTTCACATCAACTTCTAAATATTTCCGAGTTTATTGTGATGATCAATTAGTATGATTAATAAAATAATATGACAGTAATATTGCAGTTGAAATCGAAGCAAAAATAACTTATTTCCAATCTTATCAAACGAAAAACATGCATCTTTTCCAGATTAACAAAAAACTTATACTTCTCAAAATTCACTATTTTCTTTCATTGGCTGGTAAGAACAACATTATATATAACATTAATAATTGGTACTAATTTGTATAATTTATATACACTTTTAAGTTTTATAAATAATAATTTTTCACAGTCAAATTTAAATGCCATCATTAACATTTTTCATTATTTTAAAAATTATAGACTTTATTATTATTATCTTACCTATATTATTTACCTATACATTTTATAAACTCTATTTCTATATTTATGAAAGACTGGGCATAGAGCAAGTTAATGATAATTTAACGGCGTTTGGAGCATATATTTTTACCAACCAAAAATTATTATAGATACATAGCATTATAGCACTTCTAATATAATAAGGTGTAGATCATGAGTGGAGTGATGAGTGTATTGATTTTACAATGAAGTGTGTTTTTTTTGTGTCCAAAGACATTTTTTGTGGTAGAAAAAATGATTTAATTTTTAATCCGCCTAAAATCTACCTCTAATTGTGATTAAAAAGTGTCCACTTGAACAAATTATTCTGAAGGTACCCTCCAATTATCACCAAACATTATTCAATATACTTCAGAATTCCGTTGGTTTTTATTTTTTTTTTAACCAATGTTACTTAAATAATAAAAAAATAAAAAATAATACGATATATTGTGCATCAAGGGGCCACTCAGTATCGCGTTTATCTTTATTGTTAAAATTCTTTATACACAACATTTTGTGTAATTTATAGTTTTTTAGTTAATTTTCTGGTTAACAAGTACACTATAGTTCATAATATAGTCTACAAGTATAAAAAGCATATCATAATATATGACGTGTAATGTGTATTAAATACATATTATGTAATATGAAACTATATTTATAAAATACATTAATTTTCAAGGTATTTTAGCAGTGTTTTTCCAATTTCCAGAATCTCGTTGCTAACCGTATTTTTCTGAGCGATAATTGTTGTTTGTACTGGAAACATACGTGTCAATATAATAATAGTGTGCATGTCTTGCGACTTTAAGCCTTAACCTAACCTAACCTTGCTAGAACATAAACATATACAAAAGTTTGTGCTATTATAGTTTTGTATGATTTTTATATAAATATTTAGGTAGAAACGAAAAATTTCAAAAATTTTTTAACTCTATAGATCATTTTTAAATCAACTGCGAAAAGCCTCGTTAGTTCAACTGCCAATTAAACTAGTTAAGTTAAAAAGTTAATTAGAAAATAAACTAACTAGTTAATTTTAAAAGCTTAAAAAAATTAACTTTTAAGGTTAACTTTAACTTTTAACTACCTAGTTAATGCCCACCTTTGTTAATTACCCACATACACGTTAAAAAATATGAAAGTACCTAGATCTAGATTATTAGAATAACCTAATGATTTTAGCTTATTTGCTGGTGAATTTATTGTGCCGATTTAAATGTGTGTTTTAAAAAAATAAAATTATTGTGTTTTTTGGAATGATTTTAAAATTAAATTTCTCTAATAAATTGTTACAGTTTGTTTTATTATTGAGACTTTATAAAAGTTTGAATTTAGGTATTTTCTACGGCTTTTAATGAAGTTATACTACATACTACTACTTTTATAACAACGTAATTACATCTCTAAATGTACATTAACATAATTTATTTACTTGTGTTTCAGGATTAACTCCATTACTCGGTTTCTTGTCCACAATATTGAGACAACGGGGTTATTCGTCAGTCATCGTCGGTTTGATCTTTACATTTCTCCCACTTCCGGGCTTATTGATAAGGCCGATTGTTGGAGGTATAACAGATAAATACAAATGCCGCAAGTTTGTGTTTATTTTGATTATGATAATCATGAGTCTGTTATCAATTGTCTTGATATTTATACCGGGCACGGCCTCCAAAACACAAATGGATGACGATTATGTGATCACGTTACCGATGTTTTGGTTATTTTTCATGACAGTGACCTTATTCCATACAGGAATTATTGCCAAAACTTTAATGGAGGATACTATCTGCATGGATTTTTTGGGTACTAACAATATTTTAAAATATTAAATGAGAAGGTGCATTTTATATTTTAAAGTAAACTACTATAGATAGAATTTGAAAAAAAGGTTCGTCGGGTTAAATGTTAAGATTGTAATAGAAAAATAAAAAAATAAAATTTTCAATTGAAATTGATTTATTATGATTATACAATGATAAGACACATTGATTATATTATTTATTAGTTGTTATCATAGAAATCCTAGGGTCCACATAGATGACAAGATTTTTCCAGCCAGCGTCTGCTGCCCCGTTTTTTGAAATTAATAACTTCTTATAAATATATGAGTCAGATTCTTGTACTCATACTTATGTAACTAGATATACATATTGGAGCGAAACTTAGCACAAGTTGGATTCATGGGCTTAGCCGTTGATACCAAAAAGCGTCACGCGTGTGGCTTACTCGACACTGAGGATCCAACCAGATCGGATTTTGAAAGCCGGTTCCCCGTTTCTCCTATCGCAGTAAATATTCCAGAGCCCGTGAACTGGGTGAACTGATCAGTCGACGAAAGACGTGACTGCCTGTTTACCACAATCTAACTCTATGTATACAAAAACCGGACAGTAGATGTCGGCTGGCCAAACCCAGTCGCTTGTTTGGGTCCTAAGGCTTCTATGGTAATTTGTCTTATCTTTGTACAATAGTAGTAAATTAATTTAAATTGAAAATCTTATTCTTTATTTTTAAATTTCAAACTTAATATTTGACCCTGGTGAACCTATTTTTCACATACTCTGTAAAGGAGTTTCACTTCATCCACGCGTACTATCGCAACAGACACGATGTTTTATTTTATATACAGTTAAATTAATTGTGGTAAACTGCAGACGGGAACGATTTTTGCTAGCTGCTTAATTCACACAGTTTGCTGACTAGTTTACCGGCTGGGAGGAACACCTCGACCGGCCGTCCAAATTCGACAGTCTGATTGGCACACCCGTGACACTTATTGGTCGCAACGGCTAAGCCCATGAATCCAACTTACACTAAGTGTCACTTCAATATGTACCTATAATACCTAGTGATGTAAGTAGGAAATTTCTATTTATTATTAATTTTTCATTTCTATTAATTTTGTTGAGATAAGACATCAATATCTACTGCGAATCCTATACTACCTCATAAATATTAAATATGGTTATTACCTCTGTACGACTGTAATTACTAATTATGAATTATGATTAAAACCAAATATTTAAATTAATAAAATGTGTAGGTACGATTTATTTTTATCGTTATAAAATATTCTTCAAAATTCAATGAGTATTTCTAATTTTTACATGCATTATGTAAAGAAGTAAACAATAACAAAATTAAAATAATTTTTAAATTTCCTAAGGCTTAACACTACGTATACAAATGTTTCAAAAACTTAAATGCCTATTAACTCCCGATAGCTTAAAGATTTACTCAAGACAAATACAATCGTTTAATGTTTAAAAAAATACAATGGATTATTATTGTATAACCTGCATAAGTGTTTTCTTATTCTATAATTTTAATGACACTCCGTTTAATCACATTATTGTTTTTTTCCAAAAAGGAGATGAGAAACATAAATATGGCCAACAGAGAGCATGGGGATCAATTGGTCGTGGCTTCATTGCCATTATATCCGGTGTGAGTGTAGACTGGTTCAGCAAAGGACAAGATTACAAAAACTATACACCTATTTACGTAATTTCATTGATATGTAATCTCTTAAATATATATGTGGCAACAAAGATTGAAGTAATTATAAATTATTTGTATACATTTTTTAATAGTTTTAGTATTCACATATTCAAAATTTAAAATTTACAATTACAAGGTTCAAATACAGGTTCAAATTCTTTTATGACAAATGATTTTTTTTTTTATCATTACTTTGTAGATTAGGTGATTTTGTAAATATATCATTAATTAACTATTTTGATGTAGGAAAAATGGGAACATCATGTCATAACATATTGAGATATTTTTATTTTATGTGTCTTGTTCAGTTCTAACAAAGAACTAGACACCAGTTAAGGTGAAAAAACATTTTTGAGTTCTTCGTGAGATTTAATTAACCATTACTTTTGCACTATTTTTGAAATTGAATTCTATTTTACCTAACCTTTGAATACCCATTAAAAATATTAAAATGTTAATAATATTGAAATATTAACTGTAATCTAGGTGTTAATATAATTATAATTTACAGGCAAAAGATTAATACTTTTAGACAGTAAAAAACAAAATAATTAATACTTGTGTAGCACTGTAGCTCGTTATTGAAATTACACATGTGCTGTGGGGAAGTGTTCCGCTATTAATTGACCACTTGAGGCACAAAAACTAATAATCACTTAATTCGCAACACTTACTCGAAACTTAAGCCTTACTCATGCATTTAAAAATTATCGATATTGAACTCTTTAAAAACGGCCAGAATCGAATCTCTTGGCCTTAACCTAACCGAGGGTAAACGGGTTTGACATGCCTGCTTGGGGCTAGTTAAATTGAGTCCGAAGTACCATTTTTGTGGTAAACTGAGTCCCGGGTCTGAAAAGGGTATAGGTAAACTGAGTCCCAAATTAGTTTCCAAAAAGCATATTTTCTTTCCTAATTTTACAAGCATAGGACTGTCTGTTATGTTAACATAACTGATGTAGTTAAAATATGCTTTTTTTGTTTTTTAATCTAATATAATTCACAACGTTGTACATAAAAATCACAATTAATTAATTATATAATATACAAATTCAAGTCAATTTTTTTTGTTACTAGTTATCATAGTCATCGGTATAATTGACGTATTATTTGAGGATACGTTTTTTTGATAATCCATAAAGAAATAATATAGTGTGATAATTTTAGTCCTCATAAGGTCTTTCCAAACACTATCGGCGAATCGGTAATTAGTGACTATTGTCACTATACAAGTATACAGTACTTATTGAATGTAGAGACTTTTTATTTTTAAGTTATCATCGTTATTTATAATTTATTTTTTCGACAAATATTATTACTTGGGACTCAATTTACCTAGCAATAAGATACACCCAATTGTTTGGAACTCAGTTTACCACTCCCGGCCTGCTTCAGTGGATTGAAAACGGTTAGTGATTTCAACCAAAATGTACTAACTTTTCGTCAATTATACCGATGGACCTATTGACTAGTTGTATGCGAATATATTTTAGAAAAGTGATTTGAATATAGTTTTATGCCTACTTAAGATCGACCAAGCCACTTTCGTAAAAATTGTGTTCCTAAATGCCTAAACATTTTGTTTAAAAATTTATGACATTTTAAATGTTGATATGTCTAACATTCAAATTAAATATGTTAAAATATGGACTGATCAATCTCAAGTAAAGAATCAGGTACCTACATCGGTAAATTTCACAAAAATCACACACAAATGAGCATACAAATTGTTTACCGTTCACACATGTAGCGCCAAGGTCGTGTTTTGGTGTTTTATTGTTTCCCGTAGATTTAATAATTTTGGCTATACTACTGGCTATTTCATGACTACTGTCACACACATCAATGTTCATTTTTTAATTGCCTATATTAAACTCCTTAAAAAGTTCCATTTGCAATCCTCTTGACAAATTATTTTAAGAGGACGCTACTCCCTTATGCGTTATTGAATATTTTACAAACTCACAACCAAGCACATTGTACGTTCTGAATAACCTATTTAATTCTGTTATGTTTAATGTAGGAACAAATGAAATAGCTGCTATCTAATTTAAAAGTAAGAATATCATATTATATTGAATATCAAAGTTTTTTAATACTTTAATGCGAAATATGAGTATTTTAAAATTTTAAACTGTCGGTACATCTTAAGATGATCAGTTATAACTCACTCAAAATAAAATTTAAAAAACATAAAAGATTCACTAGATAATATTATTAATTCTAAACTTGATAACAGGTCAATGCTCCCCAATATTAAATGTAAGCGAGTTAAATTGAGTATTCAGAGCGTACGATTTGTCATGTTGTGAGTTTATAAGACGAAGACAATGCAAATGGGTACACAACTATAAGATATTCCACATTATTTTTACGATTGAAAAATTTACAAATTTTATTTCAAATTTTCAATGTTTAATAAATATGTTTTTTTTTTTTGCTTAACAGGTTGTAGAAAATATTGAAAGACAAGTTATAGCATCTAATGTCAAAAAATTATTCTCTAAAATAAGTGTCCTAGCATATTTTTTATGGGTTGTTTTGTTTGGAGTGCTTTGTCCTTTTATTTGGTATTATGTGTATATGTAAGTAACAAGGTACATATTATCTAAAATGTCGATGTTTACCATTATTTCTCGAATCACTAAAAAAATATTTATCGTTGTTATTTAATTTTAAATATTGAGATATAAATTAGATCATTTACATGTTGAATTTATTATTATTATTGAAGGTATATGGAAGAGATAGCAGACATTTACCACCCGGAAACGAAACCATACATAAAGACGATTCAAGGGGTGGCGCTTTCAATTCAATGTTTCGGGGGTGAATTCCCGTTTTTCTTTCTATCCAGTAATAACATAAAAATTGCTCACTCGTACAAAAATAATCGACTTCTGCATGATATTTTAATGTTGTACAATTATCATGACCGTATTTCGCATAGGTTATGTCATCAAACACATTGGCCACATGAATTCATTCTCTTTGATGTTTGTTGGGTTCGCCGTTAGATTCTTCCTGTATTCGATTATAACGAATCCCGTTTGGGTTTTACCAGTTGAAATGCTCAATGGCGTGACTTATGCATTGGCGTACTCGGCTGCCGCTTCGTACGCTGCACAAATAGCACCCCCCGGTGCCGAGGGAACGCTCCAAGCTCTCCTTGGGACAGCTCTAATGGGATTTGGTACGTATCAACTCAACAAGTCGCAACTCGAGAACAGACCGCCACAATTAAAAATGTTAAGTTTTGAGAAAAAGCGATTTGAAGTTTAAAACTAAGATATTCTTTATCTACAGTTCTTTACCTGTGAATTTAAAACAAAAAATGTAAATACTTTGCATCATGACTTTGTTAAATATTATGAATTAATACTAAGTACTTTAAATGAATCAATACATTTTGAGTTGTGGCAGTCTTGTTCTAGATTTTCGAAGTGTTATAATTGAATTTGACGCACTCTTATGACCATATTGAGTAATAATAATGACAAATATTTTTCTCTTAGGAGTGCCAATGGGGAGTTTTTTGGGTGGTTTCATGTTTGATCGTTTCGGATTTATCGTTTCGTTCAAGATTTTAAGCGGTGCTGTGTTAGCGATATGCGTTATTCAAATCACTGTAAATCAATTGATAAATCGATTTTCAAAGAACGAGAATGTCAATGAAGAAGATGAATCCTATACCGGGAATACAACATCTGATAGTAATGGTATCTTATAAATGTCGTTTTAATACTTATTTAAAATAATTGTGTATCTTAAATAACCGCGGACATTTCTTAAGAATGTAAATATTGTTATTAATTATTAGTAAGTACTAAGTACTTAAACATTGATAATAGTTATATTTTGTTATATAATGTTAAGTTATACATTTTAAATCAGCTTTGAAGGATAAGTTAAACATTGAAATGTACAAAACGGTAGTGAAATTATGTTTACATCTTCAAAGTAACACTTATTAGATGCACGACGTAAATACTCGATCTGACTCAATGTTTCAACTAAAGTGACATCTATGACCACATTATAGACTATAGTCAATGCAGTCATCAGATAAGTGACTTGTCAACTTATTGTAGGTCGCCAATGGTCAAACATGGTAATCTCTGAGTGTGCAAATTTTTCGGCTTTTTCTTCGTTTTTTGAAATTGTAATTTTGTTTTGTTACTTACTTTATTGTAATTAAATTTAAGAGTAAACATGTTTACTATTATTATATGTTATACATATATGTAAGCAATTTACTATCTTCTTTGCAATATATCTCATTATAATTATTAATTATTATAAAAAATAAAACAAAAAAAATTTTATTTGTCAACAAATTATCATGTGGAAATGTGTTTTGAAACAATAGCATGTTTTTTTATTTATTATTCAATGAGTATACAAAAACAAAAAATAAAAATACGAGTATTTTTCTACCTTAAAAAATAATCAATTAGTGATTGGTACTTATTGGATTATAAGTCTTAATAATAAGGTTAAAAGATATTTTGATCAAACTAACGATTTCTATTTAAGGCTATATATATACATATATAATAGATATAATATATTATATCTTGTATAATAGGTATATAAATCATACCTATAATACTAAAAAATATCTAAAATTAAATCATATTTGATTTTAAAGCAGATTATAAATTATTTCCAACATATTTTAAAGTTTGAAAAATGTTGTCAAATCGTGATCAAATTAATGAGTTATTTTATGTAGTTATTATATCGAGGCTGGGCATTCAATAGCAAAAAATTAAAATTAAGTTAATATGAACTAAGTAAAATAACTCTTCACTTTTTTTGGAAACTAAATTTAATCTTATTTAGTTATGTACATTTTTAACATATTTAAGGTGTTAAATTCAATTTAATTTTATATAGATTTGTCACCTTACCTAACCTAACGTAATCTAACCTAACCTTCTGGGATTTAGGAGGAAGGGTTGGGTAAAAGCAATCCTTAGCTTACATAAAAGGTAACTTAAAGGGTGGGTGACCTACTCTAGTGTTTGGTTGGAATAGTCACTCACTATGCCTATGGGCTATTGTTAGAATACTAGAGGTCCTCCGGACTCTCGGACCTAACTTAAATGGTGGACAAATTAGGGTATAACAAACAGTTGGTGACCCAATACGTCTACCTGCTGCGGTCTCAGATAAACTGCATTTATAACCAATATCGATAATTTGGCACGATACCGATATCATGACAAGTTTTCGATATCGATATTGTTTTACATCGTTTCGGGTTATAAAAATTAATATTTTAGTATTATTTTTGTAGGTCCAAGCTAATAGATTTAATGAAATGGATTTGTACTGTGTAAATAAACATAAATGTTGACCAGTAACGTTTGGTGTACATGTTCCGGGGAAAAATAAATTAGTTTAATGTATTACATAAGTTGGCTATTGATGGTTATTTAGTTATAACTTATACCTAATATGATATTTTCGATACAATATCTGAAAAATCGGAACGATCTAGATACACAAAATTATATCATTGCCCATCACTAAAAATTATTATCCAGAGTATTGTAGTAGAATACAATAGAGAAAAGAAATGGTAGGTGGAGGTATGTGTTCGAGATTTTGATGGGAAGACTACGGTCAGATTCGTATTGTAATATGACAACACCGCATGTGTGATAGGTTGATGACCTATACTAAAATCGTTGCTGAGAGTGGCTGCGAGTGTCCTCCCAAGAAATGGGTGGTCCAGTATCCCCCACTGCTAGAATGTAAGATTGTGTATCTCAATAGCTAGACTACTACGTGTTTTTGTAAAACGATACTAGGGACAGTGGCCATGAGTGTGAAACTGTGAATACATATGTAGTTTTACCAACCGTTGTTCTAACACGATTATTATTCCGGTAATCTCTGAAGCGAGTATATGATTACTCTACTACTTTTATTTTGTTTAAAATGTAATATATTGTGTATCCACTTACGTTTTTCGCAATGTGTTCTGTAATATTTGAAGTGTGTATTAACTATTGTTCTCTGAGAGTGGTATTTGTTACTCGATATCACTGTGACAATATATGTATTTTGATTTCTCTATATTGTTAAGTACTTAATGCTCTTTCTTGGAGTCTTGGGGAATCGTTTGAATTTTACCTTCACAACCTTTATCGGTTATGACTGTGACTATTATCGTGTACTCTTAAAAATCCCTAAATTCGTAGATTTGAGTTAATAATAAGAAATAATTAATTAAATTGTTATTTCCCAGGCTGGGCATGTCAATGATTTTTTTAAACTCGGTTAAATTAAGTTAATATGCACCAATAACATAAAGTTAAAAGTTAAAAGTTAATTTGATTATAGATTAACTCAGTTAAGTTAAAAGTTATGATACCAACTTTTTTATAACTTTTTATTGAGTTAAAAAAAGTTAATTTTTTTCCAAACCAAAACCATAGTGTTTATGCTTTATACAGTATTTCCATATAGTACCAATACTGTATTTTTAAGAACAGTAGTTACCTACCTAATAAGTATTAAGTATTAAGTAATAAACTAATAAATAATAACTAATACCTAAAAATAATAAATTAGTATTATTTAGTTGTCTTTTAAACAGATATTATATCTGTGTGTGTATGCGTTTGTAACTGAGTATCACTGAATATTTATTACGTAATAAAAAATCTTAAAATATTTTATTAAACAGATACCTACTAGGTATTGTATACTTAGTAAGATACAAAAATATTAAATGCGTATAATCGTTTATATTTACATAATTTAATAATTATACATTTATATTCATCAAATGAAAACTACCTAACTTCAAATTATATTAGAAATGAAAATATAATTTACACAAAGGGGTAATAAATAAATTGAAATAGTTGCATATTTTAAAATAATATACATATAGCCATGTTTAGATATACTTAAACTTTAAGTTTAAATATAAATAGGTAGCATTAATTTTTATGCTAAAAACAAATTGCATTAAAAAATTATTTTTTCCTTTAGAATACAGTGATTGAAAAAAATATAAAATTTTTAGCTTGATACAATTCACAAGTATTCTTTTGACATGACAGCAAAATCAAAATAGACTCAAATTATGAAATGCAAAAAAAATAAATAAACAAAATAAATAAATTAACTTAACTTATTTCTTGAAATGATAAATTAATTCATTAATTTCACGTTAATTAAAAAATAAATTTGATCAGTTAGTAGTTAAGTTAATTAAAATCCAAAAGTAACTAGTTAAGTTAAAAAGTTATTCTAAAATTAACTTTTTAACTTAACTTTTTGACTCGTTAATGCCCAGCCTTGGTTATACCGGATGCTGAAATATCTCAATATAAAACATATACAACTATACGCAAAATGAAAAATACCCTCTTGAACAGTAAAGAACCGGCCAAGTGCGAATCGGACTCGCGCACGAAGGGTTCCGTACCATTATCTGTAGGAACGGCAATAAAACCATGTCTGTTGTATGGGAGCCCCACTTAAATATTTATTTTATTCTGTTTTAGTATTTGTCATTAAAACGGCCACAGAAATACATCATCTGTGAAATTTTGAAAAAATTTTAATTTAATTATTTATTTGATTAAGAAAAAAATAATCATTTACTTCTGAAGTATGGGCGGTCTCTGACCAAGATAAATCAAACATATTTATGAAACATTTAGAAAATACCTTCCAACCGCATTATAATATTTTATCACCCAGCAAAATCCAAGAAGTTGAAAGCTTTCTCAACTCTCCACTACAGATGTCCCCTCCTCCTAGAGCCTTCTCCCCTGGTGAAGTTTACTTTAATATTAAAAAGCTCCCAGGAAAAAAATCCCCCGGATTTGATCTAATAACTGCAGAAGTAATCAAAAATTTACCTAAAAAATCTATCTTATTCTTAACACAAATCTACAATGCAATGCTCAGATTATCTTATTTCCCTATTCTCTGGAAATACTCTACTATAATTCTCATATTAAAACCCAAAAAGCCCCCGGACTCCCCGACTTCTTATAGACCAATCAGTCTTCTCCCAATACTTTCAAAGTTATTCGAAAAACTGCTATTAAAACGTATTCTACCCATTGTCGACACTGCAAACATTTTACCTAACTCTCAATTTGGCTTCCGCAATAGCCACTCCACCGTTCATCAAGTGCACAGATTGGTAGACAAAATATCCTATGCCTTGGAAGAAAAACTCTATTGCACTGGTGCGTTTCTAGATGTCTCTCAGGCCTTCGACCGCGTGTGGCATGCTGGTCT